TTGTTCCAAGTAGGTGCTTTAGACCACTGAGCCATCTCTCCAGCCCAATAGCAAATTTTATATCCAGCTAAAATACTATCTTTCAGGAATAAAGAAGAAGAAAGGCATTCTCACACAAATGAAAATCATTTTGCTAACAATTTTGCTAGCAAACCTATTCTTAAAAAACCTAGGACCTTCAGAAAGGAGAAAATATCAGAATGTGTACATATAGAATTAAATATTGTAGACTAGACTATTTCTCATGAGGTTTGCTTAAACAGACTTTACTTTTTAGAGCAGTATTAGGTTCACAGCAAAATTGAGGAAAATTTATAGAGGTTTCAATATACCCTCTTCTCCTGCATATGTATAACCTTTCCTGTTACCACTATCCCCTAGAGTGGTAGAGCACATTTGTTTAAAATGATGAACTTACTCTGACACATCATATTACCCAAAGCCCAAAGTTTATATTAATCTTCATTCTTAGTGGTGTGCATCCTATGGGTTCTGACAAATTTATAGGGGTATTCACCAAAATAGCATCCTACCAATTAGCTTCACTGCACTAATAACCATCTGTTCTCTGCCCATTGAACCTTCCTATCCCCTAGTCCCTGGCATCTCTCCTTGATTCCTACGCTTTGGCACTGTAATTCTCACTGAAGAGACAAAGTCTATTTTTGAAGACTTGAGAGAAGCAAAGGATTGAAAAAGTGCTTTTCAAATCTATTTCCCTTACTCTCTTACTTCTTTACAATACTCATAGAATGTGCTTCAGTTAATCTAAAAATATACCTCATCAGGTTAGCCTGATGAGTATATAGAGACATGTAACAACTCATTTGTCTCAGCCAAAGTGATTAAGAACATATCTACATTTGAGCAATCCTCAAAAGTGAGAGTTCAGCCAAGAACAGAAGAGCTGCCTATCCAACTCAGTTGACTCCAATACACAAATGGGCCCAGCTCAAACCAGACGATCCTCCCAGTCACCTACAGATATATGATCAATAAAATGTTATTTAGAGCCATTAAATTTTGCATCATAGTTAACTGATGCACATACAATTATATGCCTAGAATCCCTCCAAACAATCAACTGAAAGTTACTATGAACAATCAGAATTAGCAGGAAACATAAATAACAAAAGAAATCAGTGGCATTCATACAGAAACATCAACAGACAATCTATGAAAGATTGCATTTGCCAAAGTAATGAAAGCAAACAAACTGTACTGATGAATAAAGTTTTATTTATTTATTTATTTTGTATTTTAGGGAAGGGTCTATAGGGTGTTCAGGGTCTCACTATTAGCTCGGACTCAGTGATCTGCCTGTTTACAGCCTCCCAAGAGCTGGGATTACAGGTGCATGCCACCATGCCCAGTCTCAG